CGGGGCCCGGCCTTGGCGCTACGACCGGGCCTTCCCTTGGCCGACCAGCCTGAGGCTGCGGCGCGTATACGGGAAGGCCCGCGGCCGAACACTGAGCGAGGTACTGGTGGTTTAAAAGTCTGATGTGTCATTTGAAGAAAATATCCCGAAGGTTTCATTTATGATGGCTGTGACAGCAGCATCTCTAAGTCAGTGATATTTGAAATTCATGAGCATTGTTCAAAAATGCGGTTACTGTAATGGTATTTCTTTTCAAAAGGAAAAGGTGTCTTTTTTCTTTTCAAAAGGTGTGTTTTTTCTTTTTCTTTTGAAATAACTGAGCGGGTGACCGGTGCACAGTTCCGAATTCTTTCGCAGGAAGGAATAACAGTAACAGGGCACTCTGTGGTTCTGTGCCGAGGGAGGGCAGTTAGAAAACTGCAAATTTAAAACAGAACTGTTGTTACAGCTTTGTGCACTTCTAGCCATTGGAAGAGTTCGGAAGTGGCAAAATCATGCGGCCACTGTTGTTGTTGTTGTTGTTGTTGTTGTTGTTGTTGTTGTTGTTGTTGTTGTTGTTGTTGTTGTTGCTGTTGTTGTAGTTGTTGTTGTTGTTGTTGTTGTTGTTGTTGTTGTTGTTTTTGCGCCTGCTTATGCCGCGGCAGAGCTGTCTAGGCCACACCTGTGGCTGGGCCATGCAGGGGATGTCTAGGCCACGGCCGAGATGCCTAGGCCACACCCCCGGAAACGATCCCAAAACAGGAGGGCCTGCTACAGGTAACTGCTCCCAGGCCAGGCCACGGGAAAAAGAGCGGTACCACTACCGCCACCTCCCGTTTTTGCCAATTACTGAACTGGGAGGCCATCGTACGCATGATTTACTATTTTTCTAGCAATTTCTTTTTATTTTTTTAAAGGTCCATGTCATAGTAGAGGGTGGATGCTAGGCCTCGGGAGGTTTTTTTCTAACTGGTCTTCGCCCAAGCTTGCAGTGGACTGTTATTTCTGCGAATTCTGAACTGTGCAGCGGTCACAGGCGCTGTGGACTGGACTGCAGTTGCAAGCTCGGCCTTGCAACTTTCGTGCATGTCGAGAGTTTCGACTGCAGTTGAGACTTGGGACGGTACTGGACTCCAAAGAGGCAGTTCGAAATGCATTTACAAACTGCTTTTGTGACTGCGCCCTAGTTACCCCTTTTTCACAACATGGCCCTTACCCGGCTTCGGTCTGATGCTTGACCGGCGGCCGTCTCACTTTTTTCAAGAGTCGGTTTCCACGCGGCGACCCTCTCTGGCTTCGGACCTTTTTTTGAGGCCTCCTGGTTGCGCTAGTGGGCCGAGCTCTGAACTTGGCCCCTACCGGGCTTTTTTT